TTTTCTTTTTGTTAAGGTTCCTTCAGAATATGGCTTGTTTTGAAAAATAATAATAGTTTTGGGCTTAAGCCAGATCGGCTTAAACCCGGTGTCAGCCTTGATTCTGATAGGTTATATTCCTGGGATAGTTTAAGATTTCTTTTGTTATTTCCTTCAAATAATAAAGAAATAAATAGACAATGAAAATCACTATGTTTGAAAGCAGCGATTACAATTTAAAGTATACTTTCAAATTGTAACTTTAGTTTTATTGTTTTAATAATAAATTACAAAATATAGTACATAATATTTGATTTGATAAATGTGAATATTTTATATCTTTTCGGAAAGAATATTATTGTGCATTTAGCAGTATGAAATAATATTCATCAAATTTCATTCATGATGATTCTTTAACCATATATCTATTATATATCTCCCACCGATAGGTCTTTGGCTGTATTTCTGCAGTTCCTTTGAGCTTTATTTAACGTTGCGTGCTCTATTGGGGCTCGTCTCCGTCTCGGTCACCTACTCCGGCCTCATATTGGCTATCGAGTATGTGGATGGCAAGTGGCGCACCATAGCCGGCATGTACAATCTGTTCCCACTGCCAATCTCGTATATGATTATCTCTGGGCTCGCCTATTTGACGCAAGACTATCAACGTCTGCAGCTGTGCATTGGTATTCCGGGCATTTTCCTCTGTTTTCTCTGGTAAGGTTAATTAAATTCAAAATATTTCAGCTGGATCAAAAGGTTATTGCAAAGGTAAACAAAATAAAGACGCTCCTCGTGGTGTGTGAAAAGTGTAAATTGCCAATAAAATATCATGTGTGTTTACATATACGTACATCTAAATATTTTGTATGCATGTGTATAGATCATTGAGTCGGCTGAGCAATGAATGGCATATAAAGAACCGACCGCGCGTGGGAGTCCCAATTATAAACATAAGACGCCTCCGGCCAGACGAGAAGGTGTACTATTTATGACTGTGGGACAAAGACTGAAACTATGTCTTGCTCTCTTTTTGGCAGGTTTGTGGTGCCGGAATCTCCGCGCTGGCTGCTGGTCAAGGGTCGCGTTGAGGAAGTGAGACGCATCATTGAGGCAGCGGCCGTTTTTAATGGACGCCAGCTGCCCCCGGATTATCAGCTGACGCCACCCACGCAGGAGAGCAGCTCGCAGGACTTCACGTATCTGTTTCGGTCAAGCTACTTGAGGCGCATCTCCATCTGTTTTCTGTGCATTTGGTTTACCATGAACCTGGTATACTACGGCATTATCTTGAATATGAGCTCGTTCGGTGGAAATGTCTACTTGAATTCGGTAAGTAAGAAATTTACATTAGCACTAAGTGCGTATTTACGCGTCGAGGCGCCGCCAATTTCACTTAATTTGAGCACAGTAGAAAATCTGCCCCATCCCGGAAATTTCCTCTGTAACTAACTTAATTTAACTTGTTTCCATCAAACATCATGTCTCAATCTTTGAGTGACAAGTGCGCTGCGTACACATTTAACATTTAACAAGTGCTAAGTGCCCGCCCAGTCGAGATCTGTCCGTTAATTGGATCTGTCATTCTTTCTATGCGCCATGTCCAAGGCAGACACTCGGTCAAAAGGACAGGCAAATGTTTTTACTATCGAATTATGATGTTGCCTACAAGGGCTCTAAATAAATTCTGCCGTGGCTTCTCCGCTGGTTTCCCCGCCCTTCCCCTGACCAGCTGTACAGAATCATTTGTGGAATTTGGCTAAAAGCCAATGGCAAATGCTGCATGAAAAAGTTTTTTTTAAACTGAAACTATACTTTTTTAGCTGTCTGCTGCTTGTAGAATAAAATAATTATTATTTCGTATACTTTATTAAATATTATAAAATGAAAGAAAAACTAACTTTTTTGGTGTAAAATGAAATTAAGTTTAATGTTGTGCTTATTAAGTTAAATACTTTTACTTTTAAAATAAATCGAAGACGCATAAATTACAGGAGCTTAGGATTTATTGCTGAGACTGTTGTTCATCTTATTATAAAGAAAACATCCCGAATTCTGAATGGATGTAAAAATAATAACTCTATGATGAATAGCTTATACTCGCACTTTTGTTAACTTAAAATTTTACTAGCCTTTATTTAAATTGAATTACTAGCTAATTTTGCATAAATCCAGCTAAATGCGCATCACTCCCAGCAAAAAAAATGGCCAAAGTGTGTCTCTTTTATTTTTTGGAGGAAATTTATTGCATAATTTATTTTGACATGGCATGGCGCACCTTTGATGCCGCCTTGATTTAGTGTAGCCCGCCGACATCCGGGAACAAGTGTTTCTCATGTGATGTATCTGTCTACGTTTCGACTTCTCTTGCAGGCGCTAGCTGGCCTAGTCGAAATACCTGCCATTGCGGTGGCCATGTACATTATCACCAAGGTGGGCAAGAAGTGGCTCTTCTGCGCCACCTTGCTCTGTGCCGGGGTCGCTTGCTGCTGTGCTGCGATAACCGAGGGACGCGAGGATATGCTCTGGCTGAAGATCACATTCCTGATGATGGGCAAGTTTACGATCAGCGCCGGCAACACTATTATGCCCGTTTATACTGCGGAACTATATCCCACAGCCATACGCAATGTGGGCGTGGGCGCCTGCAATGTGGCTGCCGGGCTGGCGCTAATATTAACGCCCTACTTATCGCTTTTGGTACGAAATGAATATTGGATAATTCACACAGCACATTCATAATATTCATAATATTGTACTACTCTATTGCACAGAACAAAATCGAGGGCCACCTGTTGATGTCACTGCTAACCGCCTGGAGCATCTTTGGTGGCTTCGTGGTGCTCTTCTTACCGGAGACGGCCGTGCGAAAAAATGCATCATCCGCAACCAGACGCCAGAACGCAGCAAAACAGGTGTAATAAATTATTGAGACGCTGTCATAATACGCCTGCCCCCTCTACTCTTTCCCTGTCACCTAGGAAATATTTTGGCTGGTCCAAAGTATGTAAATGAGCACACAGGCTTCCAGAAAACTACTAACAATCTAGCAATACCAACAATAATCGTTGCCCAGCCCTGATTTGACATATCCACCGCCGCAGCCACCGCCACCTTCCTACAACCGGGAACTCAAGTAAATAGCGCAATTTATCGAATGTCCATTAAATGCCATAATTCAAAAAGTCAGGCAGGACCTTATTTGCGTAGCAAGTAGCGAGTATTTAAAAAAAAAGAAAAAGTATACAAAATCAAAAAAAAAATCAGAAAGTAACAATGGCTTTTAGCTTATAATAGGTTTAGTACAGAAGAATACATATTGTTAACAAAGTCACAATTCGGAGTAGGTTAATAGCTTCGGTATCATCGAAGATAATAAATTTCACATTAATATAGTACAAGAGGGAATATGATGAGCAAATTACTCAAATTACGCAACAGTTAAATTTTTCCCACTCTCGTATCTATCTTTAAGCCTTTGAATAACATTTAAAGTTAATTAATAACGTTGTTATGAAATAATTTCAATTCTTAAATAATATCGCCATTATCTTCTGCCTAAAACAATTTTTGTGAGATTTTCGTAGGCCAACCGAATAACTAGAAATGAATATAAAAAATATGTGTATGTAAAAGTATTGCTAAATTATTTACTCCATCAGCAGCGCAATGCACAACAGTCAATATATATAAACAAATCAAAAATTCTTGTCGATATGTCTTGTCAATATGTCAACGTAAACATAATCTCGTTGTTATTGCCGTCTATTACTAAATGTTTTATAATTAAATGAATATACAAAATTATTAAATTGAAGTGAAAAATGTAATCTCTGGTAAATGTAGTCAATTAATCACTAGAATAAAATATACACAAAATAAATATCGGTCAATTATGCACACATACATAGTAGCTATATATGTATATGTACTTGTATTTGTAAATAAGCACATACATACATACCAATTGAGAGCAGCCAATGCTTGTTGTTTTAACTCATCTCATATTGAAATCTGTTCATGTTATTTGGTCGTAACGAAATGTCATCAACAATAATTTACAAACATTTCCCACAATAATGCATTTAAATAAATGAATGTATGTAGTTCAGAATAATAAAACAAGTTAGTTTACATGATTAAAAAGCGTGTAAGCAGGCAAATAAAAAACAAAAAATAAATAAACAAAAAATTACTAGGATTACTAAATTGCTGCTTTATGGAAAACCGTCAAAATGCTTGTTGTACTTACATATATGATAATAATGTTCTTAATTGTAAGCTTTTATTTGTTTATGATTTATTTGTATTGTACTTACGAGTTAAGTATAAATTTTTGTTGTATAGATATGCTTATTAGTGCCAGCACTGCTTATTTAAATACGCAATTTGTAAATTAAAGAAAATTCAAAAAATTCGCCATGTATGTTAAGGAAATAGAAAATAGAATATGTACAAGAATATACATAAAAATACATACGTATATGCAGATGAGATATGAAAGATGAATGTTTAATGTTAAACTATGATAAAACAAGTGTTATCCAGTTATGATCAAATCTTGATGAAAATGCAAGAATGTATGAAAACTCTTTAATATTCCATCTAGGGGAAGTGCACCCAATCTAAATCGTGTTTTAAAGCTCATGTTAAATGCTCAATGTGCAACTGGAACTTGGGAAATAAATGTTAACAATGGCGTATTTATGAAATTGTTTTAAATCAAAATTAACAAAGCAACGTAAATCAATTAGTGTCAACACAAATATGCTTAAAAATAACTAATAAATATGTGGAAATGAATATCTCAACCTCTTTTTAACTCTAGGCCTCAAAGCTACAGCGAAAGCTTCGCAACCTACGACAACTTTCGAGTCGTTGACTTAGGCGAAGTTAAGCGTTTGAGTTTTTATGTTTCTTGCAGCTGGCAACGCCGCTGCATAGAGCTTTCGAGCTTTTTGCCATTTATAATAGCTTCGCCGAACTTTTAACGGATTTAGATCGTCGCCAAAAGCAAAGCAAACAATCAACCGCGCGACTCGGAGCAATACAATCGATCAGCAAATAAATACAAAAACGACACATATTTTTACTAAGTGTTATACATTTAATTGTTGTGCTCTTTTTTTATACTCCTCTTTTGCGATATGAGTGGAGTGCTGCGACGCGGTTCCCTGAATTTCGATTGCACTGGCGGCAGCTCGCGGGGCAGCCTTGATTCGAACCTTTATGGCGGCTACCGCGAGACAAAGCCAGTGCCAGGCACACCGGAAATAAGTGTAATTGCCATGGACTTTCGTCGCCATTCGGATGACCTGAAGAAGGTTGGCTTCGTGGCTGGGGCTGCACCCACGCCTAGCACCGTCAAGGATCTTAGCCAGGACGTCGATAGCGATGTTTTATCAAATTTCTTGGGCCATTATCGTAAATGGAGCTTCATGTGGACATTTCTATTGTGCTTGTTCCAGATACCCACCACATTTCATTTGTTTATGTTTGTGTTTCAGGTGAGTTTCAGCTTATGGATTGGCAAATATTTGCACACTTGATTGCGTCGCACTTTCAAATCCAAATTTTGTACTGTTTTGTGTTGTGTTGTGTTTTGTGAACTTAAACAGATCGAGGGCAATTTGGCCATGCAACAGCTTTAATAATTGCTTGATAGACTGATTTGTGTTTTGTGATAAAAGAGAAAGATTTATATAAATCGACCAATTGGTAGAAGTCAATTTGATTAGTTTATTTGTCGATTTAATGATTTAATAATATATGATTAAATGTGATTTACATTTACTCAAAATTTAGCGTGAATTCATATAAGTAAGATGCATTTACATTTAAATGTGGGTCAAATGGCAGGGTTATATTTATAAAAATATACAAATTGGTGTTATTAAGATACTATTATAATATATAGCCTGTGGTGTTTGTCATTCGTCACTTGAATATGAGAAACTGTTAATAGAGTAAATAAACAATATAAACACACTATACAATCGACATATCGCAGTCGGTAATCTTGCTTAAAAAATGTGATAACAAGAAAGCCCTGAGGATTTTAACTGACAAGCCAGCCAGCACTTGACATTATTCCTATTGTTGCTTTTGCTCCGTCGACAATTCGTCGAATTCAAAAAGTGTTGAATGAGAGTGCGAGTAATAATCAAAAGCCTATTATATATCACTAATTTGCCAATATTTCAGGCATTAACAATGTCGCGTGAAACCCAGTCATGAGCGACCTTCGAGCAATTTGCATTGGAATCGTATTCCATACGCACCAAATGGGCCTCAGAACTTGAGATCTGCGATCATTTGTCACTGAGCGTATTTGTCAGATACTTTGATTGTCTTGCGTGCTAGTCAATTGCAAGCACTTCGTTTGTTCGATTCAGCGTATGTTAATCACGATAATCATCTATCGTGCTAATGTGCAATTGGGAGGGTAACCAAAAAAAGAAAAACAAACCGCAGAGTACCTTGACACAGACGGTTTATCATATGGCATACTAAATAAGAAAGAAAATTGCAGCATCAAGAAGTCAAGAACTTAAGAGATACCTTAGTATGGCTATTTACCAGTCGATAATTGCATGATTACAACCCCATATCAATGGGCCGTTCTTATGTAAACAGCATATTATATGGTAATAGGGTTATCTAACTACCAATTATAAGTCAAGCTTGACCAAATTATGATTGGTTGCATATGATGCAAGAATTAAAAATTTGCAATCATCAATTAAATATTACAAGTACATATATGTGTGGTTATACTAAAAATTCAGAAAATTTTTACAAATTTCGAGTGAAACAATGGACGTTGTAGATGCCATGATGTTCTATATTCACTCCATTTGCGTGTTGGTCCAAAAAATGTACACATTTGCACAAGGTTATGTTAAGTTCGGAAGGGATTGGTAACTTTTGGGATTGTGTAATAAATCCTTTGGAAGGGCGGGTGTTGTCATGTTAACACCAAAAGTTACCAATCCCTCCCGAACTTTTCATAGCCTTATATGTTAAAGGAATTTTAGGAGCGGCGTGATTTTTGGGTATGTTCGGCTATATTTACCTGAACCTGCCCATCCTTTAACGTGCTCATCTGAAATCAAATCAAAACATCGTGTATAAAATATTAGTCAGGCCTCATGCTAAGATAATACAGCTTCCATTCGAAACTTTGTTAAGGCCACACAGATATGTTACTAAATGTTACTGAAAAATATTTGGTTTTTAAGACTTTAAATAATAACAAGTAAGAGGTTCTAGTCGGAAGCTCCCGACTAGGGAATACCTGAACCCTCTTATTCCAGCACCAAATAAATTTAAAAAAAATTCCCTTGGCAGGGTTCGAACTCGCAATTGACCGCATTGCTTGCTGTCGACTCTACTCAACAGCCACACCAGCAAAAAAAAAAAAATAGTATCCGGTATGGCTCGAACTCGCGACAGACCGCACCACTTGCTATGCCTCTACTCAGCAGCCACACCAATAACTTGGAACATGCATGAATGTGTGTGTGTACATGTATACAGAAATTCTTAAAGCTACTTCCCCATCCAATTGCGAAGTTGCATATAACTTTGGTTTTTTCTTAACCGATCTTTATGAAAATTTCAACAGTATATCTTTGTACCATAGAACATTTGTGTATTCTGAATAAATCAATTGCATTTAAATTGTTGCTTAAATTGGTTGGCAATAAAAGTTGGGTTATTAACTTGATTTATAGCTAAGAGGTGGTAGCGGGGTGGCCGCGATAGGTATAAAATTAAAGATACTTGACATATATATAAAATTCTAGAAGCAACATATCATGTTTGGCGACTCTAGCTCTTATTATTTACCCAATTTGCTCAAAAAACATGATGTCGATATCGATTTTGATCGATTGCTTGGAAACGGAGTAAGTTATCGATTATCGGAAACAAACTCGATCTGCACGGGAACTAGCACCTACATCTAATTTCAAGTCTCTAGCTCTTATAGGTTCTGAGATCCTTGCGTTCATACATACGGACGGACGGACAGACAGACGGACATGGCTAGATCGACTCGGCTATTGGTGCTGATCAAGAATATATATACTTTATTTGGTCAGAGATGCTTCCTTCTGCCTGTTACATACATTTGCATTTTGCAATATACCTTTTTACCCATTTTCAATGGGCTCAGGGTATAAAAATACGAATTTACTGCTGAAAATTGAAACTCTCTCTCTCTCTCTCTCTCTCTCTCTCTCTCTCTCTCTCTCTCTCTCTCTCTCTTTTCTCTCAACGGTTTTCAGATCAATGATCTAAATTCCACGCTCAGCTGGGTTAATTTATGCAAAACTTTTACTGATCAGTTAAGCGCAACTCTTTTGATTGTCATTCCGGCTTGTTGAACTTTATCTTAATGCCCCTTTTAAAATCTTGTGTGTTGGCGCACCTGTGCAACTGTGACTTCCACTTCGTTTTCAACACCTGCCTGTCTAACGACTCAGTTGTAATAGTAAAGTGCGCGCTTGAGGTCCACTATATGGCCGAAAACTCTCAGAAAATACACATGTAAATCATAAAATACGCACAAAAATCGAATTTTGCATATGTGTTCGTTCATTAACTGAAATCTTAATTTTCGCAAACATTCTAAATCAGTTGATTGGCGTCAGAAGCCGCAGTCGGTTGACTTTTTCGAAACCAATTCAAATTGTGCGCTCAGTATGCAAACGGTTGAAGCAAATACGGGCGAATTGTCGCCAATGTTGCTGGCCACGCCCATAAGCGACGACCAGTTGGAGCTACTCCAAATGAAGACTCTGCAAGGGCTGTTGGGCTCGGCAAGTCGCTGGCAGTGCATGTGGTGTGCCATTCTCTCTATCCACCAGGCCATTTGTACGTTCCACATATTCGTGTATGTGTTTCAGGTGAGTGATCGCCAGAGGCAAGACCTTAGTCTGGCTGTATAAGTTACCAAACTGCATTGCCAGCGACATATGAACAAGCCCCACAAGCTTCTAACTAAAATGAGCCACATTGTGGTTCTGCCAATAGACTCATAAAAATCATGACTTGGTTCTGTTTATGTTATTTTCCACCAAAAGCATGCTGATAAGTGATATCTGTGATAAGAAGAAATTGTGTCAATATTTGTGTTTACGTGGTTAATTAATTGTTGTTTCAAGACACTCTTTTTGCCAATTATTATTTATTTTGTTTATGATCAGGTTGAGTGACTTTAGACGTTCTTAATATAGCACAAAACGCATTTCAATACTTGTATAAGAATTATTTTGTTTTATCATCTCTTAATACACAAACACGTTTGTTGAATCTCCAAATATCTTAACAATTTTATTCCAGTCTAACCAGATCCCTGAATGCTGGCAGGGTTCATAAATGCGATTATATAGAAATATATATATAGATATATATATATATATCCACCACTAACCCACTTTAACAGATTTGCCTTTTTTTTTGGCGTCATAGCTTGTCTTTTAATTGTTGTGCCTCCAAGAGTTTTCAATTAATTTCCACTCCTACTGATCTATATCAGGTGGCGGCTAGAGGTTGCGACAACCAAGGTTAACTTCGAAAGGTTACTCTCGTGCCTTGGGCCAATAGCGGCCGCTAAAATGTCTAAATATATTAATTTATCTACAATAATAAAATAAGCAAATATTTCTGGGCCGGTCTGTCTGCCACCTAGGCACACTGGTTTCAGAATTCACTGGGTAGCAAATATGTACTTTTAGTAATAACTAACTTTAGTATGACGTATAACTAAAACCTGCTGCAGTAGCTTAGTTATCATACAATGACCCCGCGCAATAAATTACTAATAATAATAGGCTAGCAAATATATTAAAGAAGCAGGTTTAGATGCTGTATTGGGGATTTCCAGGGAGTATCCGTCTATATAAATATGAATTTCCCATTTAATAGAATTTAACCACTTTAAAATGCGAGTATTCTAATTCTAGTGCCCAAATATATATCTCGATATTATATAAATATTATATTTTTGTTTAAGAGAAGATTAATTTATACAACAATAATACAATAATATTAAAAACCCAGAATTTTAAATTTTCAATTTAACTAAAAAATATTATGCCCATTCCTATAAAGAGCTTGTACACTCCACTCCAGTCTTAAATGAACTGACAATAACGACATTGTCTGCTGCAATATGGAATATTAATTGGTTATTAATTAATTGTGTATTCTCCACAATGGCTAAAACAGCTGCTCAAACTTAAATCTAGCATTGTGCGACTGCTGACCAGTGTGCCCGATGTCGTCATTACATTAAATTGCAATCAGGTGCAAAAATAAATGATGTAAAAAAACACACATGCAGACAACAATCGACTTGAACTCGTGCAAATGTATCTGCAAGCCCATTCATCTAAACGGCGCAACCGAAGCCTCGTGTGCGATGCGGTGGGTTGAGGTGGGGTGGGTCGCTGGTTGCAGATTGGTGGTGATCATGCGGCTAACCCCACGCTATAAAATTCCACCGTCGGTTCTTTATGCAAATGCCTGAAACGTGACAAGTAAGTGCCGCAGCACTCAAAACCACAGACAAATGGACATGAGATACGGGACACGGACAGTTTATGGCATGAGAGCACGGCATAGACGGACAACAACAGTAACAACAAGCATAATATACATGACCACATATCGTTAATGAAGGAACAAGACTTGTCGGCAGTTTTTTTGAAGAACGTTAACTTTTACTTTTTCTCTCATTAAAACAGCTTATTCACTTTCTACGTGCGTAGCTGGTGTTGTGGTTGCTTTAGTGCGAACTTCAACTTGAACTTGAAACCATTTCCTCACACTCACAAAACCACAACAGCAACGGCTACAATTAATGGTATCACGTACGTTACGAGCCGAACCAACCTGTTGAGGCCTGCCCGGCCGCATAGCGTATACGCCCCATGCGCCGCAGCTCGAGTTCGAGCTCTAGAGTCCGGTGAATAACCTTTGCCTCTCCGTTATGCTATGTTATTGATAGCAGCCTGCTAAATAGCTTGCACTGAAGGCTTCGTCAATCAGCCTCGCTGGCCGGGAAACCAGGTAGCCACGTACCCTGTCAGCCGAAAGTTTTCCAATTTCCCGTATGATGTAACAGTCATGCTCAATACTCAATCGCAAAGTCATTGGCCTGCATTTTATTTACTGGTCGTAGCGAATGGCCGCATAAAATTTGCCATTGAGCAATGCGAAACACAAATGCATGCAGCGATAATTAATCAGTTTGCAAGTGCCACCATAAACGCCATTTGCTACTAGCTAATTACATAAAGTATCAAGAACTTATCGACTTTGTATGCACTGTTACAAAATCGAAATATGAAGCAGCCGTAGTTTAATTGTAGTCGTTCGACAATAAAATTGTGATTGTGTTGACATATTTATGATGTTTCAGTCTAAAAACGTTTTGCTAAGGAAAAATGCCTAATTATATTGTTTATTCTGATTGAAAATATTGTTTGCGATTTTAGCATTTGTTATTTATTTTAAAATAAAATCACTTTGTTTTATCTGCCCCCATCAACAGTAGTCTCGGTCTTATCGCCCATGTCCTCAGCTCGTGCGTTTTTTAGTAAAAGATTTTAACACAGTTCTAAAATTAATAAGCTTTATTTGACCTTGATATTTATACTAATTCATATAGTGCGTTATATGTTAGGTAAAAACTGGTTAGTGTATCAAATTGGCTTCAATTCTTTAATTAATGTTTTAAATTGTTGCACTAAATTCCGTAATATAAATTGCCGACTGACCTTAAATGTACCGTTCGCAATTTATGTGTAAAAGGTAAATAATTATTATTATAAAATTATTGTTTTTCATAAGGTAAAAATACAACAAATATTTTTTTTATAATTAATGAGCACCTTATACAAACATTCATAATGCTTTTTAACAATGAAATAGGAAAATAGCAATTAAAACTAGAGCCGATTTTTTAATAAATGTGTAAAGTCATGCCAAAATCGTTGCCATATTAAAGACTTTATATATGATAGTTACATCATTCGTAAATACAATTTTTCCTTATTAAGTTTCTTAAAACATTTCGTAACTATCGAAAGTTCGCCGCTTTAACTTTCTTTAGTATCTCCCAGTCGAGCATGTACTTTTTTGAATGAATAATATGATGGTAATTATATTTGGCTTAAGCTTGATGTCCAGTCAATAAAGAAAAAAAACAAATCGCTTCAGCAAAAAGAAAGTAAAAGTTAATTAATTTTAAGGCCGCTTATTGTTCAGAATTTGATGAATATATTTATTTGGAGTTTTTTCTATTAAGTGGTTAAAATTGATTTCGATTTTATATTGCAGACCGCTCCAAAGGACTTTTGGTGTGCCCGACCAAAAAATCTGCTCGAACTGGGCGTCACGGAATGGCGTAACCTCAGCCAGAGCTCCAATGGCTGTCACTTGCGAGATATCGATTACAGCCAGGTGATCGTGGAGAATGGCCAGCTGATCAATTGGCCCAGCAATGTCAGCGATGTGGGCTATAGACAGTGTCAGCAATTTGAGTTCTCTGATATTGATGGCAACGCTAAAACGCTGGTGCAGGAGTTTGGTCTGGTTTGTGGAAACAACATATCAAACTATGTGGAAATGTGTTTTCTGATGGGCGCAGCAGCTGGTGCGGTCCTCTCGGGCTGGATCTCGGACCGTTTTGGCCGCCGACACACATTGATGAGCTTTGTGTTCATACAAACTGTTTTCGGTAAGTCCAATAAATAGTTGTTGGAGTAATCATGCCAATCACGGGGAAAATTGCATGTCCTGGTGCCAGACATGACAGTTTGTGCCACGTTTATTTTCTAATTGTCATTTAAATGAAACTCTTGCACACAATGAGACCTGTGTGTGAGTGTGTGTGTATGTGGAAAGGGCTTAACATATTTGACTCTGTCCGCAGCAGGGATTTTAATTGACTTTACATTCTTATTTACGTGCCTGGCCTTGCACCTGACATTCCCAACCGACCTTCTCACTCTAACACTCTGTCTTATGGCTCGCTCTCTTTCTATACCGCTGTGGCACAGGTGGAATTTTGGCCTTCTCAACATCGGTGGCCATGTTCATGTCGCTACGTGTTATAATTGGATTCGCATCAATGACCGTGACTGTTGTTAGCTTCGTGTTGGTCGTCGAGTTGGTATCCGGCAAATGGCGCACAGTAATCGGTATATTAAACATTTTACCAGTCGCCATCTCTTATGTCCTATCGTCTGGCATTGCCTATCTCATCCGAGACTGGCGCACTCTGCAGCTGGTCATATCCTGGCCATGGCTGGCCTTGTTGTCCATTTGGTAAGTAACAGCAATGATTTAATGACTGAATACTCGCTTACAATAAAATATTGTTGTTTACCATACTCGAATTTAAGGTGTGATAAATCGATTAGGTTGCAAGTTGAATTGCACAATTTGTTTCTCTACACTTAACCGATTACTTAAAAACAAAACAATTGTTTAATCAAAAAAGTTGTTATTTCATAAATCATTTGCAACTTTCCCCAATCGTTAAATGAGTAATTAGTAAGATTAAACGATTTAGTCTTAACTCAAATCTTTAAAATGTGCTTACAAAAGTGCAAGCTTAACTTATTTGTATACTTTTTGCAGCGTGTTGTGCTGTGAAATTCTTATTCAGGTTAAGAGCATTTTTTCATTTTCCCAAACATTTTCACGTTAGCGATAAAATGTTATTTTTTCTTCTATTAATAATGACCATAGAGACTCCAAAAAACTTTACAAGGTAGTTTGATAACAATTCAATCATTCTGAAATGTTTTCAAGCTTTTGACTAATTATTCTCTTCTTCTACAATTTTTTTCCACCCGGGGAAGATACTTTAAGAAATTAAAATATTTCAACCAAATGAATAGATAATCAAAAACATTTATATGGCTTCCATACGGCGTTACAGGGTATAAGAACATAAATATATCTTAAATTAAACAACTTAAATAATAATAATAACATTAAGAAAACGAAATGAGAATATATGAATATCATATTTTAGAAATTCCATACCCCTTATATTTAGTTACTGTGTGTGTAATGTGTAATTCTAGTAAAGTTATTTCCATTATGTCATTTGTTGAAAGTAATTTTTAATACATAAATATTAAAATTAACTTGGGGTAATTATTACGAGTAAGACAAATTGTTAGCTATATACTCAAATGAACGTATTGTGTTATTTTCTGGTTTAGTAGTTTGTATTTGTTGCATTCGTCGGCTCAAACTTGAGGTCTTTATAGTATTTACGAGTATGTGACTTGAGGCCGCTTTTAGTGCGCCAAGTAAATACAAAAAGTTTAGCTAATCGTTTTATTGTTATTTCCACGTTCGCATTAAACATCAAAGTGAAAACGAAATGTGTAACAAATTCCTGACAACCACTGACCAACGGTTGACAGCATTTTGTTGCGTGGGATCAATTAGATTTGAAACGGACAAGGCAACAGGCAGCGTTCCACACATTCCTCAGTGTTTATCCCAGAATCTGGTGGGAAACCCTTTAGATTAGGCACGCTGAGCTGCCATTGTGTGTGGCTCGGACTTTGAATCGAATGAAAATGAAAAATTCCAAAGTGTCAATGGTCAGGCAATAAATACCAAAAGCACGACATTGATTCTATTATTTTCCTTTCCGCTGCCTCAACAGGTACTGGCTGCCGGAATCTCCACGCTGGCTCTTGGCACAGGGTCGCCTCGAGGAGCTAGGTCGTCTGCTTGAAGGCGCGGCTAAGATGAATGGCACAACGCTGCCCAGCAACTATCAAAAGACGCTTGAAGCCGCCGCCCCAATGGCTGCCCAGCCCAAGGAGCCATCCCAGACAGATGTAGTCAACGCGCCCGTTGAGGAGGGCAAGGCCCAAATGGATTCACACAATATGGATCTGCATGTGAATCCACTGTTTGTTGTCTTTGGCAGCAAGTACTGGCGCACCACAGTCCTTACCCTGATTATTTGGCTCACCCTTATCATCATCTATTTCGGACTGACCCTGCATCTGAGCAATTTAGGTGGCAATATATACATTAACAGCGCTGTGGCCGGAAGCGTGGAGGCAATTTCCATATGTATTAGCATTTTCATAGTTCTGAAAGCGGGCATTAGACGCAGCCTTCTGGGCTACATGCTGTTGCCGGGCCTCTGCTGTCTGGCCACCAATTTAGTGCCCCAGGGCGGGGATAATCAGACAGGCGTCATTGCATTGGCCATTATAGGTGGGTTTCCTATAAATCTGATACACATATATCTGTATGCAGCTTGTCATATAACTTCTTTTACCTTCCAGCAAAGTGTTTGATAGGCGCAAATAATGCCATTATACCCACCTACACGGCTATGCAGTACCCGACTATTGTGCGTAACTTTGGCGTCGGAATGGGAAATTTGGCGTCAGGCATTGGGCTCATACTGGTTCCGTCCTTGTGGCAGCTGGTGAGCTAACGAGGTTCACCTACCTCTTGTCAACCTAATAAAAATTTGTATTTTCAAGGAACGTTATGACGCTCTGCTACCTCTTAATATCATGGGAGTTTGTGGCTTGATTGGCGCTGTTGCATTAACTCTGATGAAGGACGTCGAATAGTTAATCTCTTTGTATATTTATTTGATGTGAATTCTATCTGTGATATATTGGAAATATCGGTCAATGGGCATACACAAAATCATTCTTCTCAGCCTTTGTTGAGCATTCCTTGTTTTTTATTCGCATATTTATATTTAATTTGAATTTAAAATATGAATTTTATAGACTTTTTAAATATAGATTATATTTCTGTAAATTCTTAACGTTAAATTGCTTCTTTATTTTCTAGAACAATCATAAGGTTTATTTACTCTAAGATATAAATATATATATATATATATATATATATATATATATATATATATATATATATATATATATATATATATATATATATTAATATATTCATATATTATTGATCAACAGTCAAATTGGCTATGTATGTGCTTTGCCTTCGCTTATCCATATCTGTCTGTGTGTGTTTATATGTTTGAAAAGTTCGTTAAATGTGTGAATAGTTATATGTGACTAAGGTACAGTGTATCTGTTTGTCAATATATATCATAATATATATATCATAAATAGTCAAAAATATTACAATTCCTTAGTTTTTTATGTCTACTATCCATCTGCTACTTCTTCTCTACTTAGCTAATGCATAAACCTCGTGCTTTGCACGGTGTAGCGCGCATACGCCCTGTTGTACCTAAAAGCTCAATTTCTGATTTGTACACTAATATGTTTCGTTTCGTACATTTTTAAACGCAGCTTTAAGCTCATGCAACAGCCTAGCTTTAGCTCTATTCACAGCGTTGCCATCTATCTGTATTTTTGCTTTCAAAATCGCGGTAAAAGTAATTTAAAAATTGAAGCACGTTCCCAGATCCCACACACAATTCTCAGCACAGGCAATATCCGAAAAGCGTATAAAATTTGCAAAAATCATCGCGTTCACTTTCATTTCAAGATGCGTTAACGGCTTTAAACGTTTAAACGTTCACATGGCAGCCATAACACGCCTCACATAAATTTCCAGGTGTGTGTGCTGGGCATGAAAGAGACGCAAATCTGCGACGTGGCTATAAAACCGACTGCGGAGCTCGGGCGCCAAGCATTTCAACGTTTATCGGCTGGCCAAAAGTAACCTTACCACGGCGGTCTCAGCAAAATAAAATAATTAAAAGTATCTATACTTGAATTAAGGGTGATAAAAATTCGAGTTTTGCGGAAGTGTTGCACAAACGATTGGAGTAACCAACAACAACAAAATGAAACTGCAACTATTTGCGGTAAGTTTTGCAAGGATCAATGAACACAAAAAGTGTCAAGCACAAGCGTAAATATTAATATGAATATCAAATTTATAAGAGTCGCTCAAAAGTGCGCATAATAAATGCAATTGTCCGGCACGTATGGGTATGAGAGCTACCAAGGTCGTTTGGTTCACAGCTTAAGATCTCGATCTCTGAACACCGATTGAGACATTTGTGTTGTGTATTTGCATTTAATAGAAAGTCTATGAGTGTACTTGTAGCTCAATGCGATGCAGTTAGCAATTAAATATGGCCAATTGACATTTCGTTGCCGATCGCATAAAAACCAAACAACAACTCAAATCGCCAACATCATAAATATGCGATTCAATCATTAACAATTGTGTGTGTACCAAAGAATTTCAATTGAAAAATTGGTTAACCAAGCCCTCAGGTCACAAACTTAACAAGCATTTTTTCGGCTTAGCCTCCGCCCCATTGATTGTGGGCAATGTGCCCACAATTTCAAAAGCAAAAAAAATATTATTGAACATAAGTACCTAGCATTATCTTTGAAACTTGCTACTGAGCGAGCGGTAAAATGCACACTAATAAATATTTATTAATTTAAAGATGGGAGTTGCTTATTGGAGAAAAGAAAAAGCTATAGATTAATAATAAAAAAATAAGTTTTCTTCCTATATAACAAATTTATAAAGTTGGTGGTGTTTAGAAATAAGTAATATTTTGCTTTTCTTCCAAGTTTTAATGCATTTTTTTATACAAGAAATATAAAACTCTATATTGCTTATATAAGAGTAAAAAGTAAACCACATTCCATCAGCTTTAAATTAATAGTATAAAAAAAAAAAAAAATTCTTACCAGATTGCAAATATATCTAGTACGACAACATATAAAATTCTAATTAAAATCCGCCTGTTAAGAAATATATAAAAACCTTCGAAAACCATAAATTACCATTTCTAATAGGATTTTAATGTTATTGATTGATTGCTTGATTTGTGGGGCTTGTCCAAAATTTTTGCACAGCCTTTGGTCTAATGAGTTTTCTCATAAAAACGAAATAATAATAGTAAAATCAGAGCAGTAGGTGTCAGCAATTTGTTGAGCATTTTGAGAGTAGTTATGTGTGAATTAACTGAAAATTGGTCACGGCATGTTATTGTGCCTGGCTTATGCATGTGTCTCAAGGTCGTTGCCGCTGTTTGGCTCGGCTCCACTTACGCTTCCACGAGCCACTGACCAAGTTACTTGGGATGCCAAAAACGCACCCAAGCTGGCTGCACACTCATTGCCATATAACGCAAATTCTCGGCACGCACACACACACACACACATCGCAGTTGATGCAGATGCAGATACACCAACACAAGTAAAAAAGTATTACAGATACGCCGCTCCATAACGCAATTGGGCGTAGTGTGTTACGTAATGCACGAGCACACTGTGCACACATAGTTACATGCATATGTATTTGTATTAAACATAAATAAAACGTTACATATCTGAGCTCTGAAAGTGCACTGACAACTATTTCCAGTTGGTAGACCGAGAAGAAATACATTCGGGTTGGAAGCTGTTACAGACGCGAGCATGAGATCTCTGTTGAATGCCCTAGGGTTTTTGGATTTCAATCCCTTTCGGTCAATGGCCAGTCAAGTTATGGCTCAAGGCCAAGAGTCCTTAGCCAAGTTATTGTTACTAATGAGATATCATCGAAACGCCAGAAAGTCATCCTCAGCTCACTGCCAGTCAACGCACTCCAATAAGATCGCAGACTACGCCCACGTGAAAGACTGCTTGCTGGCTAGGGCTTGGCCTGGCACAACTTGAGTAGTGGCTGCTCACACAAATGTTGTGCTTTTTTGGTTTCCTTGAACCACGAGGCGCAGCCATAAAAACTAATTAAATTAAATCAAGTTCCCCAAGCAACGAATTACTCGCATTGTTGCAAGTGTTTGCTAAAGCGTGCAAGCCCGGTTTTCAGTCTCTCTTTTATTTTCGATCATATTTTAACGGCTGGCCAAATAGTTCACTTGACCAGGTAGTTGGGCAGCCAGCCAAGCTGTTGTTCGGTCACTATAAATGCTTGGCTTGAATGCCCACAACACTAAGCCAAGAGGAATACCGGCCAAGAAAGCAATGCAAATCAAGCTTAAAACTATTTACTTATATATATGTACAAATATTTGTGGAGTGAATGCATAATAAAAATTTGCATAAGCTTGACTCACAGCGCAATTAAGTAGCAAAACATAAAATAGCTGTACCTATATTTAAAATTACATGATATATTGCTGAAATGCATGTGTGCCAATGGCCTAAATATTTGTATTTGTCCTTAAATAAGTCATTGGGAGTTGCAAAGATTGTAAAATTTGTTTGGTAGACGAGGTGTCTTCTCTACTTAAATGTGAGGTAAACAAATTGTATCTCCAAGCTGGGCATGGCAAAGCACTTACCGAAGATTATAAAAGCAAATGAAATATGAAAAATACATATGGTTTATAGCAGATAAAAATGATTTAAATTAAAGGCATATTTTTTCAATTCCAGAAGTATATATATTTTTGGAAAACTTTTAATTGTATGACATAATGGTAAACTGATGTGACAAATACAATTACCACCGATAAATGAGATTTGGTTAAGTAGTTGTAGTTAAATGCGTTTTTTAGAATATGTACATTATTAAATCATTCGAAATATTACTTCATAAATGTTGAGCCGAACCGATTTCATTCAATAAAGCAACTCAGGTACATTAAACAGTTCACAAACAAGTTTACCTAACCCGAACCGGCTATAAGCGGCTGAGCTTTAGATTCGTTCAAAGTCAAATGCAGTTTTCAAACAACAAAAACGACAGCATTAATTGTTTTAAGAATATTTTTGAATGCCTTTTACGAAATGAAAAGCCCATATATAATGCATTTTTAATAATATCAATTAAAATATATTCGTGAATGTTATCAAGAGATACCATAGACGCCAAAGCCTATGTTACACCTGGTAATGAATACAAAATTTCCAATCTCTCGAAATCTCCAACTTTGTGTTGACCCACAGCCCAGAAGTGTGGCACAAAAATACCTCCATCGAACCACGACGAAACCAACTGCGGCGCAGCTGCCGCTCGACCAACCTGGGGCGCTGACCATAGCCTGTGTGACTGATCTCTTAACGCGGCACCTAATTAAAAAGTAACTCGACCTGAAACTCAAATTCGACGACTGGTATTTTGGAAAGTATTCGAGTTCGTAGAAGCCGCCCATTGGCTTGGCGGCTACTTGTCCTAGACACTGACTTCTTTTTATAATGTTGTAGTTGTTGTGAACCGGAAACTCGGCGTGCTTGAGCTCAAACGGTTTCCACATGCCACGGAAAAATTCGCATAGCTAACTCAAATGGGGTTTTTCTTTTTTTGACTGTGCCACTTTAGGCTGCCGCCAACTGCTGAGGCATGCAAATTACGCAATCCAGGCCGAAACGGCGATAATAACAACAACAACAACAGCATCAAGCGATTTTCAACAGTCGATATTTGCTGTTGTTGTTGGCGGTAGTTGGTGGCAGTGGTGGTGCTGCTGCTGGTGGCTGTTATGATCGATCGCCAGCGAGGCGGGCGAGCAATTTCTGCGATTTGCTTTATGTTCCACATTTATTGCTATTGCAGCTACTCCTGTTGTTGTCGTTGTCGCTGTTGCCGCCACAGCGTTACAATTACAAATTTTTGTTGTATGAGTTAAGCGGCGTATAAATTTAAACCAGTTTGTTTATGGCGACACCAGCTTAAGAAGTACACAAAGAGCACAAAGCCAAATTTTGGACTTTATTTACATTTGCCGTAAACCACTTTTGTGGAACGCATGTGGAGCACAAATTCAAAAAAGATCCGTCCAGTCCAAGCTGTACATTGAGTACGCACTGCTAATTGGAAGTGTGTCCACGTGATCGATGCCACACTTGGCCAAGCAACCGCAACAGTTGCAACACGCCATGAAATAATTGAGACCATGCCATTTATAGCCCTGCTTTAATGCCTATTGCCCCCTTCCTCAACTTGCAGCTTTTGTGCAGCGTCGTCGTCATCGGCTTGGCACAGGCCCAAAACTATCCGCCACGGCTTAACATTCCTGGTGCAGTGCCCGTGTCAGCGCCGATACCGCAACGGCAGCAGGTGCTGCGCGTGCGTCGTCCTGGAGCGCCGCTGCGTCAGCAGCAGGCAATCTTGCCCGCGGTCACCCAGCGTATTGCACTAGAGGAACGACCCGTCACCGAGCCCGCTGAGGACGACCAACCGGATGCATTCCTGCCCAGTTTGCTGCGTGAGCAGCAGCTTGCTCAGGCACAGCAATCCCAGTTCCAGCAGGCGGCCGCCGCCTTCCTGAACAGCCAGCAATCTATTGAGACGGCCACGCCGGTGCATCAGTTGCTCCAGCATGAGGACAGCCAGCCGACAGCGATATTGCCAGCGCCACCACGCTTTGCCGAGCGTCCCGCAGTTGCCACGCCGATCAACCGACCGTCCTTCAATGACTTTGGCATTGGACGCTTTGAGAACTCCCAGCGCTTCGATTTGCCGCGTCCAACTCCAACAGCTGCGGCACCACCACAGCCACAACGTGTAGCCATCATCCGCAATAGACCATCCGCAGCAGTACGTCCAGAGCCACCAGCGCCTCTGCCCGTTGCACGTCCCAGGCCCAAGCCCATTCAGCCGCGTCCCATCATCGATCAGAACCAACTGCAGGATGAGCAACACACGCAGCAGCAGCGTCGCCAACGTCCAGTCGCCCAGACCATACGCAAGTGGCGCGATGAGAACGAAGATGGCACCATAACCTGGGGATATGAGAACGACGATGGCTCCTTTAAGGAGGAGATCATCGGCACCGACTGCATAACCAAGTGAGTGCACACCTTAAAATTTATAAATTGATAATTAAAATGTGTCTCCTCAAGGGGTACCTATGGCTACATTGACCCCGATGGCAACAAGCGTGAGTACAACTATGAGACGGGCATCAAATGTGATCCCAATGCCCGCAACAATGAGGAGGAGCTGCAGGAGAACGGCTTCATCAACTACGAGGAGAATCGCGCCGTGTTGCCCAACGGCTTGGAGATCGACATGACGCAGCTGGGGAAGAAGAAGTCCAAGCGTCCCAACAGTATCTACAGAAACTAAGCACTCACACACACACACACCTAAACTCCAGTTAGCAATTTAAGTTCAACAGCTCTTAAGTCGTCGCCTTAATTTTACTAATCTGTCTGTACTTTATTATTATTTAAAGTGAAAAATTATATGTATAGCTTGTAAATTCCGCTGACTTAATAGGGGCGCTGACGTCGCGTGGGCGGCATGCGATTTGGTGGCGTTATGGAGATATCCAGAAAGTCGCCAATGCTGAACTTGGCCTGAGCCAGCGTCTTGTTATCGTCGATGCCTTTCTGACCAGTGCAGGTGACACCAATTTCGCGCATTTGAAAATGATTATTGCGATAGTTGGGGAATACAATCGCAAAGTCAAAGTAGGTACCCTTTTTGCGCGTATCCGGATTCACGTCGCGCACCAGCGAGGTAAGCTCATGCAGCGTCGCATCTTGCCAGGTGTAGATCTGCAGCTCGTTGGTGGGTACATTGCCGTACATATACTCGGATACGGAGTGGTGCCGACCCGTGGAGCAAAACACACGCAGCAACAGCGGACAGGTCTGAAATGACAGCGAGAAGAGGAAGCAGCTCAGTGAAGTTTGTTGCCGGCATTTTGCATATTAAAACAAACCTTCTCGCGATCAATTTGCTTGATCTGTGTCTTCTCTTCCACAATCATGGACTCAACATTAGCCATGCTTTTGTCTATTAGTCTTTCTTTCTGGATCTTTTAAATGCTACAACCGAAAACAAATATGAATTCAACGCACCACCAAATAACAACAACTAGAGATGAGCAGAGCTGGTAGCTGCGGCCAAGTAACTGTTGTAGTGACTTAATATATCATTAATTGCACCAAATTTTAACAGCTTAACAAAGTTGGAGCTTATTCACATACATGTACAAGTGCCGCGTTTACATCAATTCCGAAATAAACTTAAAGTGCAGGATAAAATAAATCATACATTTTAATCTTATATGAGTAACTTTAAATTCTAAATTTCGTTCATCTCTAGAATTAACGCCATGAAGTTGGCTGCGCTACATCAGCTGTGTAGTTTCAGTGCTGCCATACAAAATTGGCATTAAATTAAGTATTTTTAAAAAAGTAGTACCATATTTCCAAACCAATGTCAGTATATTTGCGCTGCGAGCAGTGGGCTACACTTAATTTGGCAAAAATAATGCTGAAGCAAAATTTGTGGTGAACGGTTGTGTCGCGTCGCGACTGGCGCAAAATCCGAGAACTTATATTAAACAAATGCCAAAAGGCTAATTATCTATTATACAGAACGGCATTACGGATAGATTGTTATTAATATTTACAATATAACAGCTCGCAGTTCGTGTTGTGCTAAAAATTTGACGTAGCCAAGCAGAAACCAAAAAATAATATTTTGCCGTTGTCGGCGTAAATATTCTTAAACAGTTCGTAAACGGTAAGTAAATAGGTTCTTAAACAAAAATGCTGATCCCAATTTAGTTGTCATTGCATTTACAAATTGCTTATGTAATGCAAATGCTGCAGGTAAAGTGGAAGCCAAAGATGCAAGTTTTTTACGTCCAAATACATACGTATATGTACATAAATGTGTATGTGTGTGCATTTTGTTGTTGTTTTCCGTGCTGCTGCTGCTGTAGTCACTCCCTAATTTCTCTCGTTTGTTTATAAACATTGACAGCATACGCGTAACATTTACGCTGCAATGTAATTAAAATTCAAGCATTCCCCTTCCGTATAGTATTTGCAACAAATGCGTCCCATACGCAGTGGCACATTTTGAAGGGCACAGGAAATTTGTCCTGATAAATTGCGCGTTTTTGTAAGCGATTTCCCTACAGCAGTCGCCGAATACACTACATGTGTTTTTTCTAAGGTATATTTTATATATACATATATTGAAAGTTTTATGTTTTGTTTCTGCATTTATAGCAACTTGTTATATATTTAATTGGGATATAATATGTGTAAATAAATAAAAGTATACTTGAAAATTGCATATTTTGGTCAGATCTTTGAGTGTTATACCCTATTTTAAAGCGTACACCGCATTTAATGTTAATTTTTTTTTATTTTAAGCTATATTTAATGTGTGTACATGTGATTAGTTTCTTATATTTTAGCAAGTGTGTCAAAACTTCGGCGTGCGTGCTTTCGCACTCTTACTATGCATCTACTTTTCCGTTGCTGGTATTTGCGTGGGTGCGAATACGTTTTTTATACCCTACACACATCATATGCTCAAAAAGGGTATGACACACTGCGCGTTTGCTTGCTTATTTTTATTCATTCATCGTATAATTGCAATAAAAGGCACTAGCCAATCGCATTAAGATGATTGATGAGATAAATATTGTTTATGTTCGGCTATGTTTATTATTAAATTAATATACAAATGCCAGTTTTTTTTATTTATGTTAATTATACATCAAATTACTGATATTAAAATGTATTCAAAAAAAAATTTCCCACTTTTAAAATTCTTAAGGCTTTATTTACTTTACTTAAATTTTACTCATATGACTGCGAATTCAAAGCGCATCAACCCTAATAGCTAGATTGAAAGTCCGTCAACTAGGTTTTATAATTTGTTGTACTTGTCTATGTTATATGCATAAAAATAATAAACAAACAACGGGAAATCAGTTAAAGAAAAATCAAGACCTCCTCGCAAAGATTTATGTATTTATAGATATGCCCTAGATATTCCTCGTAAATAAATTACAAAATTCTCATTCGAATTCGGTTAGTACGCAATTATTTCAATATGTACTTTGAACGTATTATTGATGAGCTTGACCCTTAGTTAACCATATTTGATAATACAGGGTATGTAACAGTTCTCATGAAATGCGTCCGTATATTGTTTTTAGTTCATTGTGCAAATGTGTACATGTGAGCATTTATTTGCATTATTGAATTTCCTCGTCATCTGCTGGCCATCAGCTGTGGAGTCCATTTCGCAAGTGTGTGCTAGGGAAGGGATCCCCTCAGCCGTGGCCGTGACTGACAGCCTGTAACCCCAGTACGTATCACAATTGCTGCCTTTATTGCGGATGTTGAATTTTTAACATAAAGGCGTTCTTGTCTACAGATTTGTTGTTGTTGCAGTTGTTCTTGTTGGTTTTGCTGCTGCTGCTGCTGTTTGAAAATTTTAATTGCTTTGGGCACGCGTTGTGCCCAGACTTCATACTTTCTGCCTAGCAAAAACAAATTCCCTTAGCAGCACAAGAATCGCAAAATGGAAAATAGCTGAGACGAAGCCGAAAGCAGAGAAGCCAAAAGCAATAAATTCTGAAATGCAAATAAAATCGGCCCTTGTGCAAATGTTTTTATATTTTGTTGCCGCACTGTCTTTTCCCCCGTACTGCCCGCGCGTGCATGTCTGTTGTGAGACCAAGCAGACACACACACACAACAGCAGCATATCATGTAAAGCTCGACCTTGGCATCCATAGCGACCTTTGTCTGGCCACGGGACAGTGTCTACGTGGAAACCTTTGACGGTCGCCAATTTGTCTCCAGACAACGCAGTACCTATTTGTCCTAGTTATCAACTGAGCATCTTATAAATATAAACTTATATTAAAAAATCTGATCTTAGTTGTTTAAGAAAAAATGTTGAAGTCGATATTTTGTTCTTTCTATTAAAAATAAACAACACATTACTGAAATTATAACTATCTAACTGCACAGTATACACAACCCGTGAAAATATTTAAATTTTTTGATGAAATTGTTCAAGACCTCGACCCCGACTCAGTGCCTACCCATATCATAGAAGCAAATTACTGAGAGCAATAATGCTCATAACTTGCATTTTGGACACTCCCATGTTCATCTTGCAGACAACTAGTCGCTTTTATTAATTAAATCATTTTTATCACTTTGTTGCTCTGCAAATCGCATATTTTACTGCATTTTTATTGATTCAATTTCCCAGCCGATGTAATCATTATCTATGCCACATTAATGATATATTTACTCCGAAAGGAATAGATCAAATCTGTCATCAGTCAGTGTCTTGGGTCATCAATTGGACAGTATGAGGGCAAAATTGAATGAGGGATACAATTTTTGGTATTTTGATTCAGTTGACCAATGGGCGTGTGTCCATAAGTATTCGTCTACATAAACATCAGACATACGTAGTGTTTGTTCAGTTTGCGTCGATGCTGACGCAAAAAATACGATGAGTTTTAAAATAAATTCAACTCATCGTTTTTATTATTATATCGGTTGCTATTTGTCCATTTTTTTTTTTTATTTTGGCTTACTATTTATATTTTCCGTTTGCTTTTGTTTTAAAAAGTTTTTTTGTTAAATACCCAGTAAACTTAAACTCTCCGAAATGGGGTATAATATAGTCGGGTAAATTATAATTTACCCATTAGTTTGGGATATCTCCCAAACTACATTGAGATAAAAATAAGTTAAAATTTTGTAAAAGCCATACGAAAATGACTATTGATCTTAGGGAGTTACAGTATAAATACTAATATAATGTCAAGCTGACCGTGTGTTTTTGTCTATATACAATATAAATATAACTGCCAACAATCTTATGTAAATATAAAAACTACCAATTTTGAATTAAGTATAATCATTTAATTGTTCTGAAATTCAAAATTATCAAACGACAATCGATACAATTACAGTTTTCTAAGCATATCCTCATGTTTATTACGAATATCAATTTTTACGTCCGACATAAATAACCTTTAATAAAAATAGGATTCCGTTGAAATGTATACATCTATATTTAATGAAAAGAATAATATAAATCGAGGATTATAATTTAGCTGTAATGGGCATCTGTATCGAGCTTTCCCCCCTTGTTTCACCTGCGCTAGGTAATTGACAAATCAGGCACTGGCTCTTTCGGCAATGGGTTATTTTTGAGAATAGGACTGGCTGACGGAATTGCAATTGAACAGGCGTCACAGCGAGTGGAACTGCTCGTTAAGCACAATGGAATCAGCGTACTGATTGGCATTGTGGATGCCTTGACTTAAAGCATTCCTAGTTAGGGCATAAATTCTAGCAATACAATGCCTTTATGTATGTACGTCTCAATTAACGATAATAACAACGGGTAATTGTTATCAGCGTAGTCGGTAA